CAAATAGAAATTACCAATTGGATGGATATTTTACAGGGTCCACAAAATTACCCATTAAAAAAAAAGGATGATCTGAAACCGCGTTTCAATGTCACAAAGTTGCCATAATTTGTGAAATCAAACAACTCGATCATTTGATTGGTATTTCAAAGGACTTTATTATTAAGCACAAATCACAACTAAACATTTACTCTCACAATAGTAACAATAATTCAATCAATCAAACCAATAATACCAAATATCAACATCAATAATATTAACTCTAATGTCAATAATAATAATGATATGATATAGAGCCATTACCATCTAGATTTGTTCCTAACAGATCAGGCAAGTGTTTAATTTATATAGATGATGGATGTGTTTTTATAAATCACAAGGGTGAACACCATTGATAAAGTGAAGTTGTTGTTTCTTAAAATATTATTGTCTGATAATTAATTATATTTGAATTAAGCAAATTTTTCATTTACTTCTTCCAACAGTTTCCGACAACGACTCAGAGCTTCCATTTTCAGATAGATCTTTTATGGTAAACTTTCGTGACATAGATGTATATCATGTAAAGACTATTTATCATTAAATACAGCAGAATACCTTATTTCTAGGATGTTTTTAGTGCTTTACATCTTTAAATTCAAGCTTTACCTTCAAAAAAAATATAATAGCAGAGATAATATAATTAATAGTAAATGTCTACTAGCAAAAGAAATTTTATTTTGTTCATAAGGTAAGTACATTCTGTTATAATTTCATCATATTTGGTATCAAATGTTCTTTACTAGTTTTCATTCCAAAGAAAGTGGTTGCGAATGATCTGGATTCGCAATTTACGTGTCAAGAGTTGTCCTCGTCACTATTTAGGCTAGGATTTCACCAGATTCATGGTTCGCGTGACTTTCTATTCGAATAATGATTGTCCAAATCAACAGATGATTGATTCGTAATTAATTTGAGTATTTGAATTGCATCAAAGATAAGATTTTACCTGGGTCAAACGGATCAAACGAACAATTTGGATCAAGATTGAGATGTATTATGAATCAAAATATTGTATTACGAATGGAAGCCCTATTTGTAGGTTGAACAACATTTTTTGAAAAAAAAGGATCCGCTTCACTTCATGGTGTGCACCCTTTCACTAATAAATTATTAATATAAATCTTGAAATTGAAAAATAAAAATTGCAAACAACTTCAACATCGATTCATCATAGTCAAACTCTAGTGATTTAGAATTTTAGCATTATTTTTCAAAATTAAAACTTGTACCTAACCAAACCTGTCTTATACACTATGCAATGTCCGTTCTGCATTGCGTATCAATATCGACCAGTCTATGTGTATTTCAAACTACAAGGTTATTGTTGATTCTTCACCAAATTTCCAACATAGACATTTTGTAATTTTTTATATTGCATATTATTAATATTATTATTATGATTCGTAATCTCTCAGGTCCAAATTATTCATATAACCTTCCAGTTGGGTAATTGTAAATAAAATTTATTCACAATCCGGTTTTATGATTTATTAACACAATCAAGGAATCTTTTGGTGCAGTGCGTTTCTAATACTCCTTGACCATTTTTAGTGTGGTATGGTATTTAATAAAAATAATACAATCATGTTTGCATATTGTACGTTTTCCCCCTCTCATTGCAAATAACACGAGGATACTCTTCTGGTCAAGCCTTTAGCAGTACAACGATCGGTTTATGGATGGGATAATGCATGATGGAATTCATCAATGGCCAAAGAATCTTTTTTTTTGCCATAGATTTTTCAATTCCCTTTTAGCTTTGGATGTAATTGTTTACATTAATTATCTGTTGATGCTGTTGTCCTTAAGGTCTCTATCTATTGCTGCTATCCAATTATGCCAAGAAGTATATTCCATCACATTATCTCTCCCATAAGAAAGTCGATTAATTCTTTTTCCAATTATTCCTTGCTATATATTTTTCAATTAGCTTCCGATAATTATGCGAGTCACGAAGCTTATTGAGAACAGATGTTCAGAAATTGGCTGTTATTTGAGAAATCAGAAGAAATTAAAAAAATTGCATTACATTGTTGAACTATGCTTACCCCAATACCTCCATAAAAAACCGCCACGATAGATGGATGATGATGATAAGTATGTTTTTTCCTTATAGATTACTTTGCTTATTATAAATATGCTTATCTACCTTTTCATATATAGTTGAAAATCTATAGACACGACACCAACAAACATAACATTAAGCAGAAACTGTAAACCTCACCCATGCTTTTCACAAGTTCTTCTCGGATTTGTATCGGATTTGCAAGACATCCTTCCATGATAAATATGAACACCTTTCTCCAGGATCATGATCATATTTATCATGGTCATTTGGTATTAATAATGGTTTAGTATTTAGATTAATTAACGTATTCCATTCAATACAAATATGATTTGCATTATAAATCCAATGGAATACTTTTATGTGACTAATAGGTCACAAAAAAGTCAAAAGGTAGTAATAGTCGTCAAAATAACTGACAATTAAAAAGTAATAAAATTTATTATATATGAAGAAATAATAAATGTAACAGTTTTACTGAATGAAATGTTGATTTTTTAGAAATAGGTCGTGCTTGTGGTTGATCCAAAAGAAAAACTTGCCGAGTCTCTCTCTAAACAAAAAAAAATCTATTTTCTCGATGGTACAATTCGAAGCAATGGATGATGGGGGCAATAAGAAATATGAGCAGATGAGAACCATATCTAACAAAAGAACTTTCCATTGCTGGGATTATTCATATCCTTTTGTCAATAAACATATCTCAATATTCAGAAAATATTAGAAATCATCTAATAAGTAGTTCATGATAATATCAAAAGAATGCCATAGTGGAGGAAAACCAAGATGATAATACACGTTGGAACGCGAGGTCGAGTTTGTTTTTCAAAAGCCAAAGTAACAATATATATGTATTTTCATTATATTATATTTACCTAAATATATAGTATTTTCGAAGTTTAATTACAAAAATTTACAACTACGTATAATAATATTCAAAATTAAATTGTAAAATATGAAACAATTGTCAATATTGAACCTCATTAATATAACAAATCAAATGTAGATGTAGACAACTAGTAAAAAATTATATATAAAATTATAATGCTATTTCTTTTATTCGTCGTTCTCATGATAATTTGCTGCTTCTACTTCTGGTGGAACTTGAGTGTCATCTTCATATCCTTCCAAAACGTCCAAACTTACTACAGTAGCCTCTAATGCTAATCCACTCCACAATAATTTATTGAAATAATTATTCAACTTAAACCAGAAGGCGATTTCTAAATAAAGTAGGATATGTGAAAATAATATTAGGGTAGTGAAAAGACTGTAGAATATCCAAACGTAATTATTCCATTTATGTTGTTCATGGCGATCAACTTGATCATTGTATTTATATCTTTGCAAATATCCTTTCAAAGTATTTTTACTTTTCATTTCAAGGCTATACTTAACTATTCCTAACGAACCAACTAATGATATTATTAAAAAAATGATGATCCATGATAACATCTCAGACGTGACTTTATCATAATTTTTGCCCAGAAAAGCTAAAACTAAGCATGTTTTGAGATATATATATATGGGAATTATTAAATCCGCTAAAAAATCTATCTGCCTATTATTATTACTAAAATAAAAAATGTAAATTTAATAAGTTGCTTGCTCATTATATATAGCAACAGCAGATCTTGTCACAATGAATCATAATTAAATTCGCGCTATGACGGATTTAAATTTTTTTGCTTCACATATAAAATCCATTAGCATCCGTTGTGACAAGGTTTGACTGTATTAATATTAGTCTTATAAACTAAAATTGAAAAATCAAAATACCTATTGCTGTTATCTTCCTTGGATTTTTTTTCGAGATTAGTAGCTTCAATTTCCTTATTTTCTTCTAATTGATTAATTTCAATTCCCATCTCATTTTCTTTAATTTCCTCATTTTCTTTTAAATCATATATTCCTGCTCTTATTCGGGGTTTAGTTCTAACTTCTTCTTCAACTATTACAATTATTGCGAACACGAAACTTATAACACTATAGCATAGAAACATTATCGTCCAAGTAGTATTATTCTCAACCTTGCTTTCAAGAACCAAAAAAGAGTAAATTACTATGAATGTTGCATATAAATTTACAAAAAATCTTACAATAAGCCTCGTAACTAATGCGAAGCGTCTGGCTCCTAAATCTTTCGAGAAAGAAAGATAAATAAATAACGGCAAAAATAATGATAACAACGTATCAAGTAAGTGGTCTCCCCGAAAATCTTCATTATCAATAAACGGTGCTGCTTTCGTGTTGACAATAAACAGATTGACTTCTAAAAGTATCAAGAGTTTTTTCATGATTCAATAATTCAAAGGAAAATTGGTATTCAAATTCTATCGCCGTTTCATTTATAAATTTTTTCCGTCATTATCATTATCACTATCATTAACTCTTTTGGAAGTGTATCACAATTCCTCAAATGGTTATTTAAAGGATAAACTTTTGTACATATTGTTACATGCTTAATCTTATAAAAATATTTGTGCAAGAGGAAGTTGCACAGATTAGTGATGGGAATTTTTAACCATACACTTAATAATTCCAAGTTATTAATTAGTTATTAACCATTTATTAACTATTCCATTCTGAGCAAGAGTTATTAACCTATATACAGACAAGTCTTTCCTAATTTGGAAGCTCTATTGTTATTTTCACCTAATGCGGACATTCTCCGAAAGGCTTATCCTATCTTACCTGGACGTGGTGGAATAGGTTAACCCTAGGCTGGACAAATTCCGACGGAAAATTCGCTAAAATCATCCGGAGCATTCACTACATTCACCGTGATTATCCGTGATTATCACCGGGTAAATATGCCCCCGGCGAGGTAATATAGGATAAAGCCTATTTTGTACAACTTCCCCTCACTATCCCTGTCCGCATGTGCTGGTTATTTTGCAAAAATTTATTGTCCATAAAAGTTCTTCAGGTTTGTGTTTTTTAAAAGTCACTAATAGAGTTATTAACTACTTAATAACTTGATCATTTTAAAGATAATTTTTATGCCCATCACTAGCACAGATGATTAATAATTGAAAAAAAAAAAAAATAGACGTAACTTTTGTTCCATTTTATATTCAAAAAAAAAAACAATTTTACCATATTACATTTGTATAGAGAGAAATATAAGCATGAATCCGCTCTATTTTCTCAATTTTACATGAAACTTATCAAGAACTAGGGAAAAGCTAAAAGAATATCGGAATCTTGATGCGAATGAATTGTGGATTTTTCAAACTTTTTTTTCAGAACTTTATTGAGACTGGACTGGAGAGAGGTGATTAAATTATGTTCACCTTCATAAGATTCTTTATCATAATAACCAACAAATTATCAATATTTAAGAAAGCAAGTTTACAATAGAATGGATCCATTAGACAGTTATCATATCACATTTGTAGAGAAATATAAGCATGAATCTGCTTTATTTTACATGTAATAAAAAGAAAATACATGTTAATCTTTATACAACAAGAACTGGAGAAAAGCTAAAAGAATAAATTGTGGAAATCAAACTTTTTTTTTAGGACTTTATTGAGACTGGAACTGAAAGAAGGTAATTAAATTATATTCACATCCATAAGAGATAATTGATGATTTTAAAATAATAATTCTAATTATATTATTCTAAAACCTTATTATGTCTGTTCAACTGTTATATTATTATCTTTCAACAAATTATTATATTTTTTAAATATAATAATAATAAAGTTAATAACACCAAAGAAAATATATGATAATTATGGTGATAAATTATAATTTACCAAATTATAATGCTTCAGACTTCAATAGGTAATAAATCAATTTAGTTGTATCTCACCATTCTCTTGCATTTAACCCATAATGTGAATGTGGTTTTATTTCACCAAAGATTTTACAATAAAACAAGGCATTTTGCCATTTTAAATTTCTATAATTAAAAACTGGTTTAGGATTCTGGCTTCATAGGCAGAAGTTTGTCTGATTGGCTAATTTTGCCGATCAAATTCAATTGAGTTCGCATATTATTTAATATAGTTTAAAGTACTTTTTAGGATTTTTAAAGAATGTTTCACTAATAAAAAAATAAAAAAATCATTGCAAAAGCTTTTAAGATAATACCAACGTTCACTGTGCAAAAGAATCAAAACAAAAATCATACTCCCGACATACTTTACTTAGAAGACAAAAATGCCATTTACTAGTATATAGTATTACAGGGCCATGTGCGATCACTATATGCAAGAGACAGTCCTCCAACTGGAGAAAGGTAACTGAATATGTTATTTCCAAATTATGTTCAACTAGGCGATAAACCAAAATGTGTTTCCATTTACTATTTTATGAATGAGATCATGAGTTTTTATTATTATATAGTTTGTTAATATTAATTATATAAATTGTAAAGGTAAACTAATAATTTATTTTAATGCTGAAATTTACATTTGTGATTTTATAGATAACTTTAATATTTGCATTTTAATTGGCATTAAAATTGATTAAATAATCACATGATGAATTTCAAAACTGCGGAACGACACACACATGGCTTTGCCTACACGGAAAAAAGGACAGGAAAGTTGGTCTCACTTAATGTGATACATACAGACGTTCTTGACCCTGTCATGGAAAAAATGTTGTACGATTTGGTCATGAAGTGTATGACAATTGGATGAGCCTTTTATTATTAATTTGTTAATTATATTTAACTAAAGGTAAATAAGAATCTATTTTAATGCTGATATTGCTATATTAATTATAAGAACACAAACAGAACAAGTAAATATATTATCATTCTGCATATAATTAGATATTTAGAAATAATATTTTAGCATTTTATACCTTTAAAATCGATTCTTGTTTCAAATTCATTAAAGGATTTTTTGATTTTAAATTAATATCAAGTGACTTGAAATTTTTTGAATAAAGGAAAGAATTGTTTTGCTACCGCATAAGATTGACTAGTAAGAATTATGATGATAATAATTGAAAAATAATGGCGGTAGTAGCTTCGTAATTAAGTGAATTTATTTTAATATCATCCAATAAAATTGAACCATTTAAATTACAAAGATTAAGAAATGATCTACAAAAAATTAGCCAATCATACAAACTTCTGCCTATGAATTCTGGCTATTAACTAATTTTCTGTTATTTCACACATAAATTATAGACCAGTATGTAATGATTAATTTATAATGTAACACACCAAAAATCAAAACCATTTTATGCCTTTTTCTTGTTGGCCATATTGCTGACAAAGATGTATATAATCATGTGATAATTTTAATCTACAGTACAGGGGACTGATTGGGCAAAAACCAATTCAGTCAGTCCCCTATCCAAAATTATAAATTGGTTAGTATCAGAGAAACAGAGAATTTAGGAAAATGATTATTAAGGCTCCGAACGAATCAATGAAATTCGATTTGAACTGATTCAAATATATAATTTAATTCGAACAGATTCGAATTCGGATTGATTCGATTCGATTCGAACAGATTCGAATATATAATTTGATTCGAACGGATTCGAATTCGA